TGAATGAGCTCTTTTTATTATTATTTTTTTTATTTTTATTTTTTCTGTTTGGTTTGTTGTGTAGCTGTTCATGAGGCTGAATCTGAATTCTGCTTTCCTTGTCCCTACATGTAGCTTCCATCTGGATCTCTTGTGTTATTAATTGGTCTTCAGTCTATAAAATGTACATTTTGCTTAGGTCAAACTTACATTCTGAATCTTTTGTTTGTCTCTGATAAAGGTCTCAGATACCCTCTCAGCACACATGACATACAATCTTACAGAAAGTACAGCCTGGTCTACACTTTGAGTGTATGCACCCAGAAATCCAAACAGGCCTTGCAAGAGAGATGTGGGCTAGAAGTTGTTGATGATAAATTTGTGCTGGCCCTTTCTTCTCTGGTTGCAAGGCGGCAGAGTTTCCAGTTATACTAGGAACAGTATGGCTTTTGCAGCAGCATCTAGGGATCCAGAGAGGGGCAGAATTCAAGAATGTGCCGTGGGATCCATGATCTTAATTAGTAGCTGTGTACAGAGCTGAGGCATAATGGGCATAGGGTTTGCTTCCCACATGCCACCATTCCAGCCTCAGATTTCCTAGCAACAAGTGTACAGCACCAGAACGTTCTTTCTCTGTCTTTTATTTTACTCTGTTTTATGCCATTTCATTTTTATTTTTTAATTATATCCTTTCTTTGAGAACCAGAGAGGGAGATTGCATTTCTGGTGGTTTGCTCCCTAAATACCCTTAAAAGCTTTGGTGGGCCTGGCAAAAGCTGTAAACTGGGAACTCAATCCAGTACCTCCCATGTTTGGCAGGGACTTGTCACCTGGTTCCTCTCAGAATTTACATTATCAGGAAGTTGAAATGGAATCAGAGCTTAAACTTGAACACAGGAAATCTGATATAGGATGTTGATATCCTAAATAGCACCTGAAACATTACATCAAACACTGCTGTTTTTCACTTGAAGTCCATTTTGTTCAAAGAAAATACCCTACTTAGTTTCCATTCTTTTTCAGTTTATTTTTTTGTAACCTAACAAATTGACCTTGAAAAATGATACACTTGAAAGAATGTGTATTCTCTTATTTATTTGTGGATATATGTTAGTTAACTTTCTTGTTTTATAATATTCAAATAAATGTCCTTTTTAGTCATACTGTTTCTGTGTGTTTTTGAAAGTGCTCTACTGGCATCTCCTAGTACTGTTGAATAATCGGCTTGTTTCACTATCCTTTTTGATACAGTGCTCAGCATTTGGTTGTTTGTAGTCAGTTAAATATGTAACCTCATTGCTCCTAAGTTTGGTCCTCCAGAAGACTAGAACCAAGTTTTTTTGTTTATACTTGTGTTTTCTCCAATTTCTTATGTCTTTGTTTTCCATTTAAGACCACTTCATGATGACTCTTTTCATATTTTTTGTATGTTTTTTTTCCTCAAAGAAACCTTCTATTTAATGAGTTTGAATTTTATTTGTAGAATTTTGGAATATAGTGATTACTCCCACAATGCCAACTTCCTACCCTGACTCCCATCACTCCTCCTCCTCCCTCTCCCATTCTGTCCCATTCTACCTTAAGATTCATGTTCAAGTAACTTTAAACACAGATGACCAAACGTATACTAAATAAGGGTTTCAGCAATTTGCATCCACCCACACACACAGAGAAAACACATTTTATATTTAATTCTCATAATACAACTCATTGATAACAGAAGTCCTGCTTGAAAAGTAAGCACACATTGACTCCTGTTGTTAAATTAACAATAACTGACACTCATGTGAAACCCAAGGCTCTTGACATTAGCTGCCAAGACTACGGAAGCCTGTTGTATCCGCAGTCATTGTCAATATTTAGGCAAGGCCATAAGCAAAGTGGAAGTTCTTCCTTCAGAGAAAAATACATCCTTCTTGATGCCACTTTCCACTGGGGTTTCTCTCCCAGAGATCCTTTGGGTAGGAATTTTTTATTTTATTTTATTTTTGCCTCAGTGTTTTGGCTTTCCATGCCTGAAATGATCTCATGGGATTCTCAGTCCAGGGTGGCTTAAGAGCCGATTCTGATGTCAGAGTGCTTGCTATTTAAAGTGATTTTAATTCTTTGGGTTGGCTTTTGGACTGCTAATCATTTTAATTCTATCTTATTATTACCAGACATGATCTTATATGATCCCCTTAACCCTTAATCCTTTGTATATGGTCACTTTTGCACTTAAGATGGCATTTTTTTCCCAGCCAGCTTAATGGCATTTGGGGCCCCATGGCAAGTTTTTATTTATTTGTCTATTTATTTATTTTAGAAAACTTATTTAATAAATGTACATTTCAAAAGTACAACTTTTGGATTGTTGTGGTTCCCTCCCACCATAACCACCCTCCCACCCACAAACCGTCCCATCCCCTACTCCCTCTCCCATCCCATTCTTCATTAAAATATACTTGTAATATCTTTATATACAGAAGATCAACTTAGTATATACTAGGGAAAGATTTCAACAATTGGCACCCGCACAGGCACACAAAGTATAAAGAACTGTTTGGGGCCGGTGCTGTGGCACAGTGCGTGAATGCCTGGCTGGAAGACATTAGCATCCCATATGGGCGCCAGTTTGAGTCCTGGCTGCTCCACCTCATGCAGCTCTCTGCTATGGCCTGGGAAGGCTGTAGAAGATGACCCAAGTCCTTAGGCCCCTGCACCAGCATGGGAGAATCAGCAGAAGCTCCTGGCTCCTGGCTTCTGGCTTCGGATAGGCTCAACTCTGGCCATTTTGGCTAATTGGGGAGTGAACCATTGGATGGAAGACCTTTCTCCCCCCCCTCCCCCCTCCACTACTCTCCCCTACCCTCCTCTACCCTCCTCTCCTCTCCCCTTCCCTCCCCTCCCTTCCCTTCCCTTCCCCTCTCCTCCTCAACTCTGGCCATTTTGGCTAATTGGGGAGTGAACCATTAGATGGAAGACCTTTCTCTCCCCTCCACTCCCCTCCCCTCTCCTCTCCTACCCTCTCTGTGTAACTCTTTCAAATAAATAATAAATCTTTAAAAAGAAAACTGAAGACTATTTTCACCATTAATTCTCATAGTAAAACACATGAGGACAGAGATCCTACATGGGAAGCAAGTGCACAGTGTTGATTTAATAATTGACACACTTATTTATGATGTCAGTGATCACCTGAGGCTCTTGCCATGAGCTGCCAAGGCAGTGGAAGCCTCTTGAGTTCACAAACTCTGACCTTATTTAGTCAAGGCTATATTCAAAGTGAAAGTTCTCTCCTCCCTTCAGAGAGTGGTGCCTCCTTTGATGGCCTGTTCTTTCAACTAGGATCTCATTCAGAGATATTTCATTTGGTGTTTTGTTTTGTTTTTGCTCATTATCTTGGCTTTCCATGCCTGAGATCCTTCATGGGCTTTTTAGCCAGATCTGAATGCCTTAGGGGCTGATTCTGAGGCCATAGTGCTGTTCAATGAGTCTGCTAGCTATCCTGCTTCCCATGTTGGATGGTTCTCTCCATTTAATTCTGTCAATTGTTATTAGCAAACACTGTGATCCCTTTGAAACTTAATCCTATCATTATGATCAGTTATGAACTTACACTGTGAACTAGTAAGATGACATTGGTACCTGCTAACTTAATGGGATTTGGAGAGCTATATAGCTTTCCAGTTACAAAATGCTCCTCCCTCTCTTATTCCCTCGTTTTTTACTGACGTCTATTTTCAGTTGACTTTATACACATATGATTAACTCTTGTTAAGTAAGGAGTTTAACAAATGATAGGAAGAAGAGAAAAAAACCTTTGTCTACAGTGAATATGATGACTGTTCAAGTCATTGCTTCTTGAATTGTCAATTTCACTCCCACAGATTTAGTTTTAGGTGCTCTATTGTGACAGATCAGGAACAACTTGTGCATTTGGCACTGCCTTATTTCAGTAAGTATGATGTTTTCCACATTCATCTATTTTTGTTGCAAATGACTGGATTTTTGTTTTACCGCTTTGTAGTATTCCATAGAGCTGTGCATCAAAAGTGCCAATTTAAATTCTTTCATAGAGGTAGATGCTCATATACTTTGAGTTTAAATCTCATATCATTAAACTTTATAAAGTGTTCATTTATTATCAAATGTGAGGGAAATGTTCCACTTTGGCAACCCAACTAAGGCCAGGAGGCTACTGTAGATCTCCAGCATCACATGCCTGTATAAGCTCCTCTGAGCATTGTTAAGTTGCTGCCACTTCTGGGTGAAGTCCACAGCCATGTCTTCAGATGACACCCATAACTACAACAGCATTTATCTTCAGCATAGCAGTTCTGGGTTCACAGATTCAAAGTTCATTTTTCTGTGTGTTTCTCAGATGCTTCTTATATATTCAGAATATAAGATATAGCTTACATTGTAGTCTATATTGACAGCAGGAAAAATCTCATAAAAACATCTTGTCTCTATTTTAACTTTATAATTCAAAAATCCCAACAATAAAGATTCTCTTAGTTATTTGGAAGTTATCTTTCTCCTAATGATTTTGAGAGGAGGTGAAAATGTAATCTGTAGACATGATTATAAACACGATTGAAATAACATTTTAAATGCACTATGGAAGAAGTGTTCAATACTGACCAAAGTAATAAATACATTTTTTAAAGATTTATTTATTTTACTTGAAAGTCACAGTTACCAAGAGAGAGGAGAGACACCCACAGAGAGAGAAAGGTCTTCCATCTGCTTGTTCACTCCCCAGTCAGCTACAATGGCCGGAGCTGCACTGATCCAAAGCCAGGAGCCAGGAGCTTCCTTAGAGTCTCCCATGCAGGTGCAGGGGCCCAAGGACTCGGGCCATCTTCTTCTGCTTTCCTAGGCCATAACAGAGAGCTGGATCAGAAGTGGAGCAGCCGGTTCTCAAACCGGGGCCCATATGGGATGCTGGCATCGCAGGCAGCAGCTTTACCTGCTCTGCCATAGTGCCAGCCCCAATAATAAATACATTTTTAAGAAATACATCTTTCTGTTATCAGGTTGCAGTTCCCTGAAACATCCAAGATGGTTACATGTGCATGAGTGTTCTCATGAATATGATTCAACTCAGATCAAATGGTAAAAGCACAAAGGACACAAGCCAGGTTGTGGAGCTTCACATCACCTTTCGGTGAGTGTTCTGGGCTGTGAGGAGAAATAAACGCATTAAGGCATTAAAGAAACTGATAATTGAGAATTTCTTTATATACTTGAACTAATGCAAACAGTAAAAACTTTATGTGCTGATTTTGTCAAATTATATATTCATAAGCATTCTTATGAATTCATTGGGAAAATAGCAATTTTTATATTTTTATAAATATATATTTTATAAATATATATTTTCATATATATATAAATATATAAATATAATTGCTATTTTCACAATAAAAGTTGTTCACTTCCTAAAATTTAAGATGTACATATTGGTGACCAATAAAATATGGTCATTACTTGAACATATTTGTATTTTAAATGTCATCCCCAGGGAGGCAAATGAGGAGAAACTGAATAAATAAAAAGAGAACAGAGACATGACTACTGACCATCAGCATATAGTTAAGAGGAAGACAAATAGGGATATTATTGTAATTTTGGAAAGGAAAAGAAGGGAAGGACAGAAATCACTACTAATTTTTTCAAAGGGCAAAACATGGAGTTTAATTCTATGCTGTGTAAATTAGCGATAGAGTTTTAACTGACACTGTAAACTAAAATTGAGAAAGGGGACAAAGGGTAGAATGGCAAGAAGGCACAGTGGGTTTGGACACATGATTTTTAAAGCTTCCGTGGTCAAATATGTGGGGATATCCAACCTGGAAAGTGAACATATGAGCAGAGAGAGGTTCCAGTTGCAGATAAAGATTTGACTGCAGAATTTCAGTGATGCCTGAGACCATCATAGTCAATAAAATGTCTTCAAATACAAACTAGGAGACAGTAGGAAAGGGGGACCATTATTGTGGCACTGTGAGTTAAACCACTTCTTGCAACACCAGCCCTTTCTGGTTCATGTCTTGGCTGCTCCATTTCCAATCCAGCTCCATGATAATATGCCTGAGAATGCAGTAGAAGATTGCTGAAATTTACCTGAGCCTCTGCAATCCATTTAGAATACTTATGTAGAGGTGTAGGCTCCTGCCTTTGAACTTATGAGTTCTAGCAACTGTGGATATCTGGATACTGAACCAGCCAGCAGATGGAAGATATCTCTGTGTCTCCCTTTCTGTCATTCTGCCTTTCAGATAATATTTTTTTTTAATAATACAAAGCAGAAAAGGAAGGAGCACAGAATCTGGAGAATAACTGTCATTCACTGATAGAGTTAAAGGAGGAAATATTAGTGGAATGGAAGAAAAGATAAGGAAGTTTTAAAGTTTCCTTCGGGGACATGGAGAAGCTCAATAGGAAATAATCTTTTAATATGAATTCAGGTTCTTTAAAAAATTATGTCAAATATTTTCATTTCATTTCTCACGTGTAGTGCGAAGTATCCTATTATATTTCATTATATCCATACCTGTATAGGGGAAAAAAAACCTACCATGATTATCCATACTGGTATTGAGAACGACTTTTCAAAAAATGTTTTTGTAAGGCTGGCGCCATGGCTCACTAGGCTAATCCTCCATCTGCGGCGCCAGCACCCCACATTCTAGTCCCAGTCAGGGTGTCGGTGGCCCAGGAAGGCAGTGGAGGATGGCCCAAGTGCTTGGGCCCTGCACCCACATGGGAGACCAGGAGGAAGCTCCTGGCTCCTGGCTTTGGATTGGCACAGCGCGCTGGCCTTAGTGGCCATTTGGGGGGTGAACCAATGGAAGGAAGACCTTTATCTCTCTCTCACTATCTAACTCTGCCTGTAAAAAAAAAAAAAATGTTTTGTAAGACAGATTTTAGTGCATCCTGTTTTAACGTGGTCAATCATGTATCTTAGGTAAATTAATCCCCAGAGAAAGGACAGTCTCTTTAAAAATGAAACTGGTAAAATTGGATATCCTCACAAAGAAGCATTAAGCAAGACCCCTACCATACACCTTGTACAAAAGTCAACTCAAAATGGATTAAAAATCTAAAGAAAATATTGTATATGGATGAAATGGTTACTTTTCCATTCAATTATAGGTGATGGTCCTTGTCTATAGTCCCATTAAACTAGGCTCTTTTCGTTTTTTACTTGTTTAAACAAATTATTCTGTGAGGTATTAAGGCTATTTTCTATATTGTAAATTAATATATTACAGCAAAAACTAAAAAATAAAGAAAAGTGGAAGGAGGATAGGAGTGAGGGAAAGATAGAGGGAGGAAGAAATGGAATATTATCGTGTTCTTAGACTTCTATGCACAAATTCTTTTGAATCTGTTAAAAACAATGAAAATTAAAATGAAAAATGAAAACCAATGAAATCCTGGAAAACACATTATTGATTAAAAATATGAGCAATAACATCAGATAGGCTTGTTTTCAAATTCCAGTTTTGTCACTGATAATGTGTGTGTTTCTATGCAATATATTGTTTCTTTCTAAGCCTGAATTTCTAGACCAGGAATCATGGTTAATGGCAAATATCTCAGTGAACATTAGTGAAAATTTTATCAGGTAACAATTACCAGTAACAGTGCCTGACACAAATTCATGACTCATTTACTGAATATTTTCATGTGTACTCCACTTGAAGTTATTTCTCAGTTGAATATAACAGAATGTTTGATATTAACATCAAAAGACAGTAAGATTAAAAATTAATTCTCTATTACAAAAGTATTCACAGTCAGGAAATAAGTTGAAATATTATTCAAAGTTCTTATTCAGGTCAAAAATTTAATAAAAGATATTTTGAATTGCATATATGTGTATGTGTGTGTATTGTTGTGGAAGCAATGAAAAAGAAATTATCTTTTTTATAATGAAGAATGGATCAAAATCTCAAATGTGGTCTGTTAGGCTGCTCTTTAAAACTAAGTCAACTACGAAATAAAGAAATCATTTTGAATATATTTCTCCCTCTTTATCTCATCGCAGCATCCATAAAATAAATTAATTAATGAACACATAATAAAAGGAATGTCAGGCATTTATAGCAACAGGTAATGAATCTTCTTGAGAAGACTATATCAGATATTACAATTGTTAATTTTGGCTTTGACTGACTGTGCCTTTGGGGTCTTTTCCAAGAATTCTTTGCTGGTGCCTATATCTTGTAGGCTTTCTCCAATGTTCTCTAATAAGTTGATGGTGTCAGGTTATAGATTTAGACCTTTAATCCATGTTGAGTGGATTTTGGTATAATGTATAAGATAGGGGTCTTGCTTCATGCTTCTGTATGTGGAAATCCAGTTTTCCCAGCATAATTTGTTGAATATACTGTACTGGCTCTAGGGAAAAAATTAGTTTTAGCTCCTTGATCAAATATAAAGTGGAGATGTTTGGATTAAATTCTTTTGTTTCTGTTCTTTTCCATTGGCCTATCCATCTATTTCTGTACCAGTACCATGCTGTTTTGTTTATAACTGCCCTGTAGTCTGTCTTGAAATCTGGTATTGTGATACTTCTGGCTCTGTTTTTGTTGTACAAGATTGCTTTAGCTATTCAAGGTCTCCTGTTCCTCCATATGAAGATCAGTATCATTTTTCTAGATCTTAGAAGATGTGTTTGGTATTTTGATTGGTATCACATTGAATGTATAAATTGCTTTTGGGAGAATGAACATTTTGATGATATTGATTCTTCCAATCCATGAGTATGGAAGATCTTTCCAATTTTGGTATCCTCTTCTATTTCTTTCTTTAAGATTTTGTAATTCTCATCACAAAGATCTTTGACATCCTTGGTTAAGTATATTCCAAGGTATTTGATTTTTTGTAGCTATGGTGAATGGGATTGATCTTGGAAGTTCTTTCTCAGACTTGACATTGCCTGTGTATACAAAGGCTGTTGATTTTTGTGCTTTGATTTTATATCCTGCTACATTGCCAAACTCTTCTATGTGTTCCAATAGTCTCTTAGTAGAGTTCTTTGGATGCCTTAAATAAAGAATCATATCATCTGCAAAGAGGGATAGTTTGAGTTCTTCCTTCCCAATTTGTATCCCTTTAATTTCTTTTTCTTGCCTAATGGCTCTGGCTAAAATTTCCAGTACTATATTGAATACCAATGGTAAGAGTGGGCATCCCTGTCTGGTACCAGATCTCAGTGGAAATGCTTCCAACTTTTCTCCATTCAATATTATGCTGGCCGTGGGGTTTTCATTAATTGCCTTGATTGAGTTGAGGAATGTTCCTTCTATACCCAATTTGCTTAGAGTTTTCATCATGAAAGGGTGTTGTATTTTATCAAATGCTTTCTTGGCATCTATTGAGATAATCATATGGTTTTTCTTCTGCAGTCTGTTAATGTGGTGTATCACATTGATTGATTTGTGAACATTGAATCATCCCCACCTACCAGGGATAAATCCCACTTGTTCTGGGTGGATGATCCTTCTGCTGTGTTGTTGAATTCTATTGGCCAGAATTTTATTGAGGATTTTGGCATTTATGTTCATCAAGGAAATTGATCTGTAATTGTTCTTCTCTGTTGCAACTTTTTCAGGTTTATGAATCAAGGTGATGCTAGAAAGAATTTGGGAGGATTCCTTCTCTTTCAATTATTTCAAATACTTTGAGAAGAATTGGAATTAGTTCTTCTTTAAATGCCTGGTAGAATTAAGCATTGACTCCATCCTGTCCTGGGCTTTTCTTTGTTCAGAGGGCCTTTATTAACTGTTTCAATTTCTGACTTGGTTTTAGGTCTGTTAGGTTTGCTATATCTTCATAATTCAATTTAAGCAGCTTGCATGTGTCCAGGAATCTGTCCATTTCTGATATATTTCCTAGATTGTTGGCATACAACTCTTTGTAGTAATTTCTGATGACTTTTTATTTCTGTGGTGTCTGTTGTTACATTCCCATTTTTATCTCTAATTTTAATGATTTGGGTCTTCTCTTTCCTTTTTTTGGTTAGTTGGGCCAATGGTGTGTCAATTTTGTTTATTTTTTCAAAAAACCAGCTCTTTGTTTTACTGATCTTTTGTAATTTTTTGAGGCTCAATTTTGTTAATTTCTTCACTAATTTTCATTATTTCTCTTTTCCTTCTAGTTTTGGGTTTTGTTTGCTGTAGTTTCTCTAGATCCTTGAGGCATAGTAACTCATTTATTTGATGCCTTTTCAACTTCTTGATGTAGGCATCTATTGATATATACTTTACTCTTAACACTGCTTTTTCTGTTTCTCATAAGTTTTGATATGTTGTGTTGTTATCTTCATTTGCTTCCAGAAAGCTCATGATTTATCTTTTGATATCTTCCATTACCCCCTATTCATTCAGGAGCATGTTGTTTAGTCTCCATGTGTTTGCATATCCTCTAGGGATTCCTGAGTTGCTAATTTACAGCTTCATTCCATTGTGGTCTGAGAAGATGTGTGGTATGATTTTTATTCTTTTGAATTTGTTAAGACTTGCTTTATGACCTAGTATGTGGTCAATCCTATAGAAGTCTCATGAACTGCTGAAAAACATGTGTATTCTTCATCTGTGGGAAGAAAAGTTCTGTAGATATCTGTTATATACATTTGGTCTATAGTTTCAATTAAATCTGCTGTTTCCTTGTTGATCTTCCTTCTGATTGATCTGTCCAATCTGAAAGTGGAGTATTGAAGTCCCCCAATGCTGTTGTATTGGAGTCTAATCTCACTTTAAGTCCCTTAACATATGTTTTAAATAGCCTGCTGCCTTGTAATTAGGTGTATATACATTTATATAGTTACATCTTCCTGTTGAATTGATTAATTTATCATTATATAGTGCCCCTCTTTGTCTCTTTTAACAGTTTTTGTGTTAAGGTCTATTTTGTCTGATGTTAAGATAGCTATGCCAGCTCTGTTTTGGTTTCTGTTGGCAGGGAATATCTTTTTCCAACCTTTCACTTTCAGTCTGAATGCATCTTTTTGGAAAGATGTGTTTCTTGTAAGCAGCAAATAGATTGGTTTTGTTTTTTTTGTGCGGGCCAGCCGCACCAGTTGAATGGAACCTAAGGGAGGGAGAAAAACTGGAAAGAGGGACAAGAGATCGCAGAGAATGGAGCCAAGACAACAAGGCTGATCAAGGCTCCTTTATTCCAATATCTTAGTGGTATTTATACATAACCAGCACAAAGAAGCACAAAAGATAACAACATACATAAGCACCTTATCGGGGCCTTCAGTGGCCCAGATAATTTTCACAGAGCGTTCTTGATTATCATCCTCCTTCAGGATGTCATCCTCCTTCAGGATGGGAATATGTGACTTTCTTATCTCAAGAACTCCACAAGCCAAGACTGGCCTTGATTTGTCCAAAGGCTGCCTACAGTTTTTTAATCCATTCAGCCAGTCTGTGTTGTTTAATTGGAGACTTGAGGCCATTTACATTCATTGTGACTATTGATAAGTAGTGATTTTGTCCTGCCATTTTTCCAAAGATATTTCTAATATATACTTTGAACTGCCTTTTTTATTTCTTCTATTGAATTCTTAATTTCATTTTGATTTCCCTTCAATATCTCAATTTCTGTTCTGTTGAATCATTCATTTCATTTTGATTCCTCTAAGATTTCATTTTATTGAGAGAGATTTTCTTTCATGTCCTGCATGCATTTCAGTAGTTCATGCATTTGCTTTTCATTACTTCTAAGTTCTTATCATCAATTTTTTGAATTCAATTTCTTGCATTCTATCTCATCATCTTCATGTTTTTTAGGAACATCATGTTGTCTTCCTTATTCTTGTTTCTTGGATTGTTGTGTTTGTTGTTTGGCATTTGAGGAGATACTCATTGGTTTCTTTTTCTGCTGTGGCAGCTTTTATCATTGTGCTATGACTCTGTAGATAAGTGGACTGTCTGCCTTCATTGTATCTCTAGAGGCTTGTGGTGGATGTGGCCAAAGATCTCTGTTCAGTTCTTCAGGATTAAGGATATACCCAGGTATGACATGGCAAACTCTCTCACTCTCTCTCTCTCTCTCTCTCTCTCTCTCTCTCTCTCTTTTTAATCAGAAGGGAAGTCATTCTGCTCAGCTGAGCTCTTCTCCTTGATGGTTATTAGTCACTGAACGCTAGCCCCAGTGGGTATAATATTCATCTGTTTTGTCCCAAGGACCACACAAAGGATCTGTGCAGTCCTCAGTGTAAGTTCAGATTCTCCTTCAATGTCTCTCACCAGGTAGTCTGGTCCTCCTAAGCTGTGGCATCTCCTAGTGAGACTTCTCAAAGTCTCAGGCAGATCATGAGTTCTCCCACACATCCTCAGCTTTTTTTTTTTTTTTCCACAGTCCCAGTTCACAAGTTCCACACAGTCACTAGGTCTTAGCCTCCTGTTGTTATTCCCCACCAGAGTCAGGTTTCTCCACTCAGCTGATTGTCTGCCACAGACATGAGCTGGTACAGCTATTACTTATGTCTAATATGGTGCCTGCTCTTTCGGCTTGTATGACTTTAAAAGGTGAGTGGAGAGAAAGAATCATGTCTGTACCATCCCCCCCCCCTTTTTTTTCCTCTCCTCTAGTTAGGCTGGTGTATTTTCCCCAAAGGGCTTCAAGCCTCATTCCTGATAGGCTCTTCCTGCCACTTTTCCACCAGTGTCTCAGGATACTGAGGTCTGGTCTCACCTCACTTTCCATCTGCTCGAGTCTTGAGCTGTGGGTGCCCCTGCCCCCCCATGTAGGTCCACCGTGTCCCCTAATTACAGAAGACTTTCCTCTGCTGTTTTTTCCCTAACTATTCCCTGAGACTACACACTCTCCCTTTTATTAAACTGTCTTCTCCTGGACTAGATCAGTAAGCTCCCTCCTTATCCCACCATCTTGGAACCTTGCATAGAAGATCCCTTTCTGATATAATTTTATTTTATTTTTTTTGATAGGCAGAGTGGACAGTGAGAGAGAGAGACAGAGAGAAAGGTCTTCCTTTGCCATTGGTTCACCCTCCAATGGCCGCCGCGGCTGGCGCGCTGCGGCCGGCACATCGCGCTGACCCGAAAGCAGGAGCCAGGTGCTTCTTCTGGTCTCCCATGGGGTGCAGGGCCCAAGCACTTGGGCCATCCTCCACTGCACTCCCTGGCCACAGCAGAGAGCTGGCCTGGAAGAGGGGCAACCGGGACAGAATCCGGCACCCCGGCCAGGACTAGAACCCGGTGTGGCAGCGCCACAAGGCGGAGGATTAGCCTAGTGAGCTGCGGCGCCAGCCCCCTTTCTGATATTTTAATCACCCAAATACTTTCCCACTTCCTTTGACAACCTCTGTGTCTTCCTTCTAACTACTATAGGCATAAGAATTAGTCTGATGACTTGGCTAGCAGCTGAAAGTTATGATGAAATTAGAGGTATGGGAATAGCAGTTAATATAAGGATCTTCTGTGTCTGCACCGAGTAGCTCACAGATACACACTTTGAATGTGCAGGTTCAAGTCCCCACTGGAGAAATCAACAGTAAATAAGCTAGTTTTTTTTACCTGTTGGCCTGAGTTTCCTCATTTGGAAAATAGGTGTTATTAAAGTCTTATCTCCTGGGGCTGGTGACTGTCAATTAGATGGTGCATGTGAATGGCTGTCCCAGTGCCTTGAATGAAGTCAGGTCCCAAATACCATTAATATGACCAAAAGCAAAGAGAAAACTCACGAGATGCTAACTTCTATTCATTCCATAATGTCTTTATGAACAGCTGAACATTCTCACCACAAAGTAGTAGAGAATTGATTTCACTGGTCTCTTTGACCACATCACAACCTACACCCATTCCTTTGCTCCACAAACCTATACACGCAAAGTACCCTGAGACGTAGTTATTCTCCTGGTTAGGACAATCTTGTCATAGACTGCCCTAATAAAAACTTGAAACCCTAAAAAATAGCAGCCTGAGCTATTGTAACAAATATTTTAAAGTTCCTTTTATATTAATGCAGTCCTTTATAGTTTATTAACCATTTTGACCTATATTCATTTAATGGAGATCAAGGCAGAGAAGGCTGCTGGCTGAGAAGTGATCAGTTCCAGAGGAAGTGATACCAGCAGCACTGGCACTGTGGCCATAGAAGATAGGGCTGATAAGGATCCCATTCCTCTTCCATTCCATTTGCTCCCACCTCTCCTTAGGATAGAAGCAATAGGTTTGTTTTATGAGGCTAAGGGATCAGAGACATGGAAAATGGGGGAAAAGGATTTAAAATTAACCCTATATTTTGTTTGTTTTTAAGATTTATTTATTTGAAAATCAGAATTATACAGAGAGAGGAGAGGCTGAGAGAGAGAGAGAGAGAGAGGTCTTCCACCCACTGATTCACTCCCTAATTGGATGCAACAGCAAGAGCTGTGCCAATTTGAAGCCAGGAGCCTCTTCCAGGTCTCCCATGTGGGTGCAAGGGCCCAAGGGTTTGGGCCTCCTTTACTGCTTTAAGTCCATAGCAGACAGCTGGATCAGAAGTGGAGCAGCCAGTATTGAATTGCCACCCATAAGGAATGCCGACACTGCTGGCGACAGCTTTACCCACTACACCATAGCACCAGCCCCATATCTTTTGAATCTTAATATGTATGATATCTCACTTTTTATTATTTAAGGTTAATGTATTTTAAAGATCCAAATTATTTTCTACTCTGAAAAATTCATTTGTTACCACGATGATGAATACTGCAGATGTAAGTCCTAACCTTGCTCACAATTCGTTTCTTGGTGTTTCCAGGCCTTTTGGTTCTTGGCTCTCTTTGGACTTCTTATTTCTGTGCAGATGCAGATTATCAGAGACAGAGGTTGCATAGAAGTTAATGTGACACACCTATTTGCTACCTTCCATTCTCCACTAGGGGCATTTCACCTAGAGGGACCTCAGACCCATATGAATGTCAGACCATAAGGTGTCCAGAGCCTCCCCCTACAGCTGCAGACAACATTGCCATTCCTTCCTCTGCTCTTTCTGCAACAAGGGTCTGAGCAAGTCTTGCAGGGCCAATGCAGGCTAGACTTCTGTAGGTGTCAATGGATGTCCAGTATTGAATGATCAGCAGTGTTGGGCCTCTCAGGGATTTATAAAGACCAAAGCAAATTATCAGGAATACTTTCCAAGTAGATTCCCATGAGAGTTTATATGGTAGTTACCATGATTAGAAGAAAGATTGAAAGAAAATGGGACTGCTGATAAAGGACATGATATACTACAAGAGCCTCTTCTCACTGCTAAAAACTTACAGGAGATTGAAGCACTACCCCTCCAGGAAAAGCATTAATATTGATATGTGTTTATATATAGCTGGGGATGAAATAATTTAATAGACCAATTATTTTACACAACTGCTGGGAATTTAAAATGGTAATGTTGCTATGAAAAATAATATAGCTGTTCATCAAAAAACTGAAAATAATAATACCATATTTCTTCAATATATTGGATACATGGATATTTCTAAATGTTCTTGAACAATAGAATTAAAATATAAGTTCATTTTCATGAGAAAATCTTGAAATCCATGAAAATAAGAAATCAAAAGGTGCATGAAATTGTGTCATAAGAAACTGCATGGATTTGAAAATTTTTGCACCAAAATAAACATATTTTTAAACTCAGCTTCTCAGCAAGTATCTTAAAGTATCATCATATACTAAAATAGATGGAAGGGGCTGGCACTGTGGACTAGTGGGTAAGGCTGCCGCCTGCAGTACCAGCATCCCATACAGGCACCAGTTCATGACCCAGCTGCTCTGCTTCCAATCCAGCTCTCTGCTGTGGCCTGGGAAAGAAGTATAAGATGGCCCTAGTTCTTGGGCTCCTGCACCCATGTGGGAGACCTGGAAAAAGTTCCAGGACCCTGGCTGCAGATTGGCACTGCTCCAGCTATTACAGCCATTTGGGGAGTGATCCAGCATATGGAAGACCTCTCTCTCTCTTTCTCTCTCTCTGTCTCTCTTTGTCTCTTTCTCTCTCTCTACTCCCCCTCCCCTTCATTACCTTTCAAATAAAATAAATTATTTTAAAGTCATGAGAAAATGAACTAAAAGATTAGCTTATTTTGTTGCCAAAATTTAAAATCCAGGGAAACAAAGGGTTCAGAAAAAAGGTTTTGTGAAACATTATGAATTGTTATGTATAGATTTAAAGGTTTTTCAGCATAATAGACTTATACTCTATTTCTATTTTTTCATGAAACTTCAGAGTACCCTTTTGTATACAACACAAAATGATAAATCTAAAATTTAAGGAAAGTAAGCCTCATATTCAATCTGTCCCACAACGTTTGGGAGCTGCTTTCCTATCATCCTTGTGATTTCTCTGACAGCAGAGTCTCCTTGTGGTTATGAGTAAATCAAATTTAAAATTTGGATCCAGGACTTCATGAAAAATCATGGAAAAATCATGTGGTTCACTATGCTAATCCTCCACCTGCGGCGCCGGTACTCAGGGTTCTAGTCTTGGCTGGGGCACCAGATTCTGTCCCGGTTGCTCCTCTTCCAATCCAGCTCTCAGCTGTGGCCCAGGAGTGCAGTGGAGGATGGCCCAGGTCCTTGGGCCCTGCACCTGCATGGGAGACCAGGAGGAAGCACCTGGCTCCTGGCTTCAGACCGGTGCAACACACCAGCTGTAGTGGCCATTTGGGGGGTGAACCAATGGAAGGAAGACTTTTCTCTCTGTCTCTCTCTCTCACTGTCTAACTCTGCCTGTCAATTAAAAAAAAAAATAAAGAAAAGAAAAATCATGGAAGGACTCACTGCAGTCTTACATCTCCAAGCACTTGGTAAATGATTGCAATAGTATGGACTCTTCTGAGTTGCCAGATTGCTTTGAAAATATGTGAAGAAAGCCTTTGTGTTTGTTAAATTTCCAGGAGTGGCAGCAGAAAGCATCATACCCTGGATGGCTTTGCACAACACACATGCGCTGTATTCCAGTTCTGGAGTCTGCAGGCCTGATATAAGGCTCAGCAGGGCTAGCTATTTCTCAGAGCTGTAGGGGAAAATATGCTCCAGGTCTCTCTCCTAGTGCCACATGGGTTACTGGCAGTCCATGTTGTCCTTGGCTGTAGACACATTACGGTGATCTCTGACTTCACTTTCACATGGCACTCTGCATGTGCCCATGTATGCCTGTGACTCCATTTCATAAGGATATCATCCATATCAGATTGTGTCCCACCATGCTCTAATATAATCTCCCCCTAACTAATAACATAATGACACTCCTACCAAATAAAGTCAGTCTGTGTCATAATTTCAACACAGAATTTGAGTGTTAGGGGGCACAACTCATCCTTGGTGGTGACTGTCCCTTTTCTGATCTATCTTTCTTGTTTCAGAAAAGTTTGAAAAATGGAGATTGAGGAAGAGGAGCATCTCCTTACACAGTTGTAGTAGTATCCCATAGTGTACACATCCTGTAATTTCTTCATCCAGTCTTTGGTTTATGAGCATTTAGGTTGATTCTATGTCTTATGTATTGTGAATTGAGCTGCAATGAAAATGGAGGTGCAGATAGCTCTTTTGTTTACTGATTTCATTTCCCATGGGTAAACTCTGAGGAGTGGGATGACTGGATCATATGGTAGGTCTATATTTAGATTTTTGAGGTATCTCAATACTGTACCCCATAGTGCCTTTACCAGTTTACATTCCCACCTAAAATGGATTAGAGTACCTTTTACCCCATATCCTCACCAGCCTATGTTGTTTGCTGATTTCTGTGGTTGAGGTGAAACCTTTATGTAGATTTCATTTGCATTTCCCTGAAAGCTATTGATCCTGTTAATTTTTCATATGTCTTTTGGCCATTGGGATTCTCTCTTTTGAAAAATGTCTGTTTAAATCCTTTGTGCATCTCTTAACTGGTTTGTTTTGTTGTGGTGGAGTTTCTTGATCTTTTTGTTGATTCTAGTATTAATCCTTTATCAGTTGCATAGTTTGTAAATAATTTATCGCATTCTATTGTTTGCATCTTCACTTTCCTGTTTCTTTTGTAGTACAGAAACTTCTCAATTTGATGTAATCCCAGCTGTTAATTTTGGCTTTGGCTGCCTGTGCCTCTCAGGTCTTTTCTAAGAAGTCTTTGCATGTGCCAATGTCTTGCATGGTTGCCTAAAAGTTCTCAATTAATTTGATCGTGTCAGTTCATAAATTTAGATCTTTAATCCATGTTGAGTGGATTTTTGTTTAAGGTGTAAGGTAGTGGTCATGCTTCATATTTCTGCATGTGGAAATACAGTTCTCCCAACGGCTTTTGTTGAAGAGAGTGTCCTTGCTTCAAGGATTGGTTTTAGCTCCTTGGTGAAATATAAGTTGGGTGTAGATGCTTGGAATGATTTCTGAAGTTTCTCTTCTGTCCTATTGGTCTGTCCATCTATTTTTTTCCAGTACCAGGCTGTTTTGAATATAACTGCCTTGTCGTATGTCTTGAAATCTTGTATTGTGATGCCTCTGGCTTTGTTTTTGTTGTATAAGGTTGCTTTAGCTGTTTGACATCTTTTGTGCCTCTGTATAAATTTCAGCATCATTTTTTCTAGATCTGAGAAGAATGTCTTTGATATTTTGAATGGTATCACATTGAGTTTGTAAATTGCATTCAGAAGAATGGATATTTTGATGATATTTATTTTTCCAATGCATGAACAGGGAAGATTTTTCAATTTTTTATCTTCTATTTCTTTGTTTAATGTTTTAACATTCTCATTGTGAAGATCTTTGACATCCTTGGTTAAATTTATTCCAAGGTATTTTATTTTTTCTGTAGCTATTGTGAGTTGGATTGAGATAATCATATGGTCTTTTTTCTTCAATTTGTTAATGTGCTGTATCACATTGACTGATTTGTGAATGTTGAACCATCTCTGCATGCTAAGGATAAATCCCACTTGACCCTGGTGAATTATCTGTCTGAGCTGTTGTTTGATTCCATTGGCCAGAATATTGTTGAAGATTTTTGAATCCATGTTCATCAGGGAAAGTGGTCTATAGTTCTCTTTCTCTGTTATATCTTTTTTCTGAGTTTAGGAATTAAGGGGATGCTGGATTCATAAAAAAAGTTTGGGAGGATTCCATTCCTTTAAATTGTTTTCAATAATTTAAGAAGAATTGGAGTTAATTGTTCTATAAATGTCTGGTGGAATTCAGAAATTCAGCAGTGAAGCCAGGTGGTCCTGGGCTTTTCTTTGTTGGGATGGTCTTTACTACTGATTCAGTTTCTGTCTTGGTTATGGGTCTGTTTAGGTTTTCTATGTCTTCATTGCTCAGTTTAGGTAGGTTGTATGTGTCTAGAAATCTATCAATTTCTTCTATGTTTCCCTCTTTGTTCGCATACAGCTCTTTGTAAATGCCTTCTGATGATTATTTTTATTCTGTGCTGTCTTTTGTTACATTTCCTTTTTCATCTCTAATTTTATTGATTTGGGCTTTCTCTCCTATTTCTTGGTTAGTTGGGCCAAATGTGTGTTGATTTTGTTTATTTTATCAAAAAATAACTCTTCATTTTGTTGATCTTTTGTATTGTTTTCCTTTGGTTTCAATTTGTTTATTTCTTCTCTAATTTTAATTATATATTTTCTTCTAATAGTTGTGGATTTTTCCTTTTTACTGTAGTTTTTGTAGATCCTTGAGGAACAGAGAGTTCATTTACTTGGTTCCTTTACAATTTCTTGATGAGGTAACAATTGCTATAAACATTGCCCTTGGCACTGATTTTGCTGTATCCCACAAATTTTGGTATGTTGTATTGCCATCTTCATTTGTTTCCAGAAATTTTTTTTGATTTCTCCTATGACCCACTGTTCATGCAGAAACATGTTGTTCTTTCTCCATGTGTTTGCATATGTCATAGAGATTCCCGAGTTGTTGATTTTCAGTTTTATTGCATTGTGGGCTGAGAAGATGCATGGTTTGATTTCAATTGTTTTGAATTTGCTGAGACTCACTTTATGGCCTAGCACATGGTCATTCCTAGAGAAAGTTCCATGCACTGGAGAAATAAAAGGCTCTGTGGTTATCTGCTAGGTCTATTTGATATATGGTGTTGATTAACTCTGTTTTTTCCTTGGTGATTTTCTGTCTGGTTGATCTATCCATTGCTGACAGTGGGGTATTGAAGACTCCGCTACTATTGTATTTGAGTCTCTATCTTCCTTTAAATCCCTTAACAATTATTTTAAATATTCATGTGTCTTGTATTTAGGTGTATATGCATTTATAATAGTTGCATCTTTCTATTGAATTTATCCTTTAGTCATTATATAGTGTCCTTCTTTGTGTCTTTTAACAGTTTTTGTCTTAAGGTCTATTTTGTCTGATACTTGGATGGTCATACCAGCTCTTTTTTAGTTTCTGTTAGCATGGATTATCTTTTTCCATCCTTTCACTTTCAGTCTGCATGTGTCTTTGTTGGTAAGGTGTGTTTCTTGTAGGCAGCAAGTAGATGGGTTTTCTTTTTTAATCCATTTAGCCAGTCTATGTCTTTTAACTGGGGAGTTGAGATCATTTACATTCAGTGTGACTATCATTAAATATCATCTTTGCATTACCATGTTTCCTGAATTAGTCCTGTTTGTGTATTTTGGATTTCATTTGTACTTTTGCTGGATAATTTTCTGCATCTTCTTTTGTAATGATGTCCCTTTTCCTGTATTTGTGTAGCATATCATTGAGCATCTTTTGTAGGGCTGGGTGATTAGTTACAAATTATTTCAATTTCTGCTTATTGTGGAATCCTTACTTCTTGTTCATTCATAAATGAGAGCTTTGCAAGGTAAAGTATTCTGGGTTGACAGTTTTTTTTTCTCTTAGGACTTGGAACGTGTCTCGCCATTGTATCCTTGCCTGTAGGGTTTGTGATGAGAACTCTAGGGTGAGTCTAATTTTTGTTTCCTCTGAAAGTGATTTGTCATTTCTCTCGTGTAAATTTTAAGATCTGTTCTTTGTGTTTCACTGAGATGAGTTTTGCTACTATGTGTTATTGTGAAGTTCTTTTCTGGTGATGTCTATTGGGAGTTCTGTGTATTTCTTGTACATAGATGTCTCTTTCTTATTCCAGATTGTGGAAGTTCTTTGTCATTTTTTCATTAAGAGGGCATTGTAATCCCTTCTCTCTTTCCACACTTTCTATAATTCCTATGACCTGTGATTTGGTCATTTAACAGAATCTCCAACAATGACTTTTAATTTTCTATTTCCTTTTTGTATTTAGTCTGACTGTATTATCTCCAGAAGTTTCTCTTCTAGTTCTGATATTCATTCTTCTATCTCATCTATTCTATTGCTAAGACTTTCTACTGTGTTTTTCATTTGGTTTATTGAATTCTTCATTTCCAGTATTTCATTCTGGCTTCTATTTTAAATCTCAATTTCTTGGGAGTGCTTTTCAGTTAGATTATTAATTTGTTTCTGATAGCTTATAGGTAATCTGCTATTAATTTTCTGAATTTCTTTTATGACATATACTCAATTTCTTTAGCCTCCATTATTGAGAATTTGTATTTTTCCTTTAGTGAGTTCATTGAATCTTCTTTATTCTTACTCAGGATTTTTCCTTTGTTCTTTGGCACTTCTGGTTAATTTCTGATTGATTTTATTTTTAAATTGATTTCCCTCTGCTATGAGCTGCTAGGTGTCTGTGTGTTTTAAGTGGAGGCACACAGCTGCCCCCCCCCCCCCCCGATCCCTTTTTGCTTCTAGATCATGATGAAAGCAGGTACCAGGGCTTTGGTGCACTAAGCCCTGCCTACTGGGGCCAGGCTCACTTCTCACTGAAACAAGCTTGGGTTTTTGCTATTTATGAGTACTCCTTGTTGTACAGCTTGTGTGTTGGGGAGGAAATCACTCTGGAATGTTGTGATCCTTGTTCCCGGGTAGGGCATAATGTGAAGTGGACCCCACAATTCATGAGTTTGTGCACAGAAGGCAAATGTGGCAGCCCCCTGGTTACACTTGAAGTTACAGTTTCTCCTGCTTCCTGCTTGGAGCTTCAAACAGTTTGCCAAGTTTCCCATCCCATTGCAGTCTTTAACGCTGGGAGCTTACAACCTCTCACCTGGTTTGCTAAGGTGGGCAGTGCCAATCTCCTCCCTCACTCCCTCTGCTGCTACTTCACTGCATGTTTGCTGCCTCTCCCTCCTCTTTGCTCCCCCAGTGTGGATCTGAGCAATCTCTGGAGGACTCCTGGGCCTCTCTACATGAACTCCTTGTGATTCTGCTGCCAGTTTGTATCCCCTCTGCTCAGTAACTACCTCTTTTTCCCTCATACAGCTCGGAATGTCCAGCTAATACACTGCCAACTTGGCATGTTCCCTGTTGCAGGTCTTTTGGCAATGAACCAGTGGATGTGAGAACCATTCCTTTTCTCTCCTCTTTAACTCTCCCTTCCTGCCTTCTCATTTCTCTCTCTCTCTCTCTCTCTCTCTCTCTCTCTCTCTCTCTCTCCCCCTTTCAGGTAGTTAAATAAAAATAATTTCAAAAATTAAAAAAAATGTTAGGGCTAAATAGAAAAAGAAATTGCCAGGGTTGGAGGTACAGCCCCAATATTAGATGAAGAAGATTAAACACCCTTGTCAGTAAGGTGTTACTTTGCTGTATATAGATTATACATGTGTTTAGCTTATATATACATAAAAAGACAGACACATTTACCTTAAAAGCATACACAAGAGCTTATACTCACACTTTTCAAAGTAAAAAAAAATCAGAAATTCTAGTTAATTTTCTAATATAATGGGTTGTCGTTTATCACTTCCAGGATACCTGCTTCTATTCTTGAGACCACTTTCTAAATGATCATTATTTAAGTAAACAAGCATGTTTCCCCATTTATATTCCTCTTTCCTGACATCACCCATAGCATAAATAACTTCCCCATCTCTCCTTTCCTCACTCAGGTTCCTACCAAGTGCCCTGTCCCAGAAGAACTTACCCAATCTAGTCCACTTCTTCAGGGCAACCGTGGTCCTCAGATAAGCATCATGGGATGCCATTTTGTCTATAAAAGTTAGAATATATGTGATTTCCCAATGTTTATTAATATTGAATCTTTCTTTTTCACTTTTTATCCTTTGGTTTTTTAAGATTTATTGTTTTTATAACAGTTCCAAAATACCTGCTGTATATAATCCATTGAAAATATTTCTTTTAAGTTATGTTTTAAAATTTAAAATGTTACAAAGATTTTAGACAACAAAACATAAGATAAAATTAAAAGCACAGTGTTCCCACAATCACTGTTTATATGATAATGTGTATTTTCCTTCTTGTCTTTTATTTATATTGCTGTAATCACCTACACTTTTATTGCCTCCTAGATGGCACTCAGCATAAACATAATACTATGTTGTCCACCATATTAATTAATTTTCAATTGATGGTCACCTCATGAAATAGTGTAGCAGAGTTAGTGTCAGTCCCTTTGGTTGGCAGATTTCCCAAACAGAAGTGGCAACACCTGGGCCAGTATTATTGAGTGGTAGCCCATGCAAATGGATATATGTTTAATAAGCCTATGATCATTTTCCATCAGTGCCACCATGATCACTTTATTTTTGTATCCACTGTGCAATAAATGTGACTGGGCAGTGGCAGAAGCCTGTTTAAATTAATGGTCCATGTCATTCTGTCTATGTGGGTGCTTACTGTCTCTGCTTTCATAGTTCCTATCTAGCCATTATTACTAAGCATTATAAAGATTGCACATTGTAGCCACTTTAATCAGCATATTTTATGCCTCCTCAAAAATCTGTTACAAATCTACCGTTTTCAGTCTTCTGATAAACCAGATAAACTATTATGTCCTGTCAGAAACTATAATTAACAATCTTCTTGACTGTTTTTTTCTCCATGAAGTAGATCAGGTATAATACTCAGAACTTTGCTAATACCACGACCCTATGGGTTCTTTTTTTTTTTTTTTTTTGACAGGCAGAGTGGACAGTGAGAGAGAGAGAGACAAAGGGAAAGGTCTTCCTTTCCCCGCTGGTTCACCCTCCAATGGCCCCCACGGCCAGCGCATCCCGCTAATCCAAAGCCAGGAGCCAGGTGCTTCTCCTGGTCTCAATGTGGGTGCAGGGCCCAAGGACTTGGGCCATCCTCCACTGTACTCCTGGGCCATAGCAGACAGCTGGCCTGGAAGAGGGGCAACTGGGACAGAATCCAGTGCCCAGACTGGGACTAGAACCCGGTGTGCCAGTGCCACAAGGTGGAGGATTGGCCTATTGAGCCGCGGCGCCGGCCCTCCCTATGGGTTCTTTAATAGGGTACTACTGTTATCCATCTACTTTCAACAGACAACCAACATTAACTTGTTCAGCCAACCATCAATGAATAAGATTCTTTTTTTCTTTCTCTGATGGTCATATTGTAGGCTCTATGCAACAACTAATACTAGTGGAAGGGGAGGCCCATTGTTTTTCAGTTTACTTATGCCTTCTGGGCCTGCTGTAGCTTGAGCTATGATACATCTTTCCATTTATTATTGCTGCTATAGCTACTCTTCTTTAGAACTTAATAGGTCTGACAGAACACACTTTTATCCTAGTGGTCCCTTTATGCAGCATAGTCAAATACTCAGTCCATACTAGCACCAGGAGAACACTAATAGCTAGTTTTCAAATAGTATATATTTAGTTGCCATGGATAATATGTTCTTTTTTGAGAACATGTATTTATTATATGTTATGATACAATCAAGGCTAGCCATGAAAACCAAAAAGAGTATTTCGTCATCAGAAATATCTCTGCTACCAAAGTATCTTCCTGGTTTTATAATACAAGTTTTGGTTTTTATAACCCAAAGCTCAGAGCTACTACAAAATTATTTCTTCTGAGCTTTAAAATGGACTCACAGAGGATCTGTTTTCTACCAAGTATAATAGTTTGAGGAATGCAAAATATGCTACCTCTTGAATCCCTACCAACTCTCAGCCTTCTTTCTTGGTAGCAACTTAATACAGCCCAATATGCAGTCTTTTTTTATAAGAATGTTTTCCAGCCTAATCCAGGTTACTGGATCCTAGCATAATTACCTATATGAAATTCATGAATCTTGGTACAGTTTTCCTCTCACATTCTGAAATAAGCTTTAATAAGTTTTGCAAAGTATTGTTTAGATCTTGCTCATTTGGTGTCCCACATGATGACAGTAAAGTTGTGGGATGATGTGTTTTGTACACCAACTGGAAATGCAGCTTTTCCTATGAGATAAAGAAGAATGACCAGTATATTCGGTCTAAGTATAGTTGGATTATTTGACATGGAAGAAGGACTGTTATTTATTTTAAGTTTGCATTTGGTTTAAAGACATGTTGTGGATTCAGTATTGATAAGCAGACTGTTGTAATCAGCAACTAAACTTAGTCAATTTAAATGCACTGTTGTGCTGAGTTTGGCAAAACATTGTTATTGATATTGCTTTGTAGATATTTTGTAGCTGTGATTAACATCTGCCATCGACTAAGTAAGGGAAAGTATACTTGTTAATGCAAATTCCTCTGTTAAGAACCCAGAGTGATACAATTAATAAATAAATAAAGACAAGAAAACATAAAATTAAATTAGTAATATGCGTATCTGCATGCTCTCTGAGAAATGGAATGTGACCATAATTAGAAAACTTATGGGTCTTTTTTTAAAGAATGAGTTTATGGAGCTGGTACTGTGGCATAGCAGGTAAAGCTGCTGCCTTTATTGCTGGCATCCTATGTGGATGCCTCTTGGCTCCACTTCTTATCTAGCACTCAATATGGTCTCATAAAGCAACAGAAGGTGACCCAAATGCCTGGGTCCCTACACACATGTTGGTAGACTTAGAAGATGCTCCTGGCTTTCGCTCCAGCCATTTTACCAGTTGGGAAGTGAATCAACAGG